ACTGATTAGTTTCCTAAAGTTGACATTTAAGTGTATTTACATTTAAATGGCTCCTACTCTTAGAAGCGATCGACACATGGAGACACAATCCCCCCGTGACGAACCCTACGTCACCACTGCAACCACTTACTTTACTCAAGTGAAAAACGTGGGCAGGGTTTGTCTGACCAGTATGTCACATACTCTACGTGTAGCAATGTTTAGATCTTCACCGCCATCTTTGCTATGTATAAGAGTCAGTGCGGCGGTCCAAGCCAGCATCATAAGTTTCATACCAGCTTTCTGCCTTGTTACTACTGCACATACCGTCAAGATGTACCCCTCAGTCACTGAGTCAGTGAGGAGTGAGGGCCCTTTTTTGCTTTCATGAGCAGTTTAACTGCCCCCAAGCCACTCCGGCTCACTGAACGAAAACATTTGCTGAGCTCGCTTGCTCTTCTTGTGAAAGCATATCATAATTTCATGGGTTTTTAAAATGCATTGGCGTCTAGAGCTTTGACATTTCTTGCTCTATTATAATAGTCGATGCTATCGCTTCGAATCCATTTGTGAGTGAGCAAGCGACTGTCAGTTCGGCCCGGCTATTCCTATTTCAACGAGTGACAACGCCTGCGTGGCTGGCATCGTTTCGTGAAAGCCAACATGGACTGTACCACGGCTCATTTACGAAAAAGCCAGCTCCAACAAACATGACTTCGTCGAGTTCCAACTCCGGTTGCACGCTCTCGCTACAGCTCCAGCAGCACATGACCATTGAGCAGAAATACTCGCACGGATCAGGCAGTATCCGACACAGTCACTCTTGCCGATCGCGTTCGCCGCGTCGACGCTCCTGCTTGCGCAAGGAAAGCGCCTTTGCATGCGGTGGTGCTTCGCGTGGCTCACGCCTGGACGAACTGTCCACGACCAAGATGATCACAGTAAGCTACTCAAATACACCCAAGAAAACGCTGTCGTTCGCCGATCAACACGGTCAGCATCTTGTGCTGGAGCGTGAGTTCTGTCCCAAGGACGCCCCAGTGTGCTACTCGGACGTACCGGTTGAAGTCACATCCGAACGCCAGACCCGCCGACGTAACAATAGTTTTGAAATGTGGATGGAAGAGACTGTGGCGCGACAACATCTACTGTCCATGTGCGTCGTTTCGCTATTAGGCTGTGCCCTCATCGGTCTTCGCCAAACCGCCAAGTAGCTGGCAGTACAAGTAATTATTGTCTGTTCATCGGAGCGACACCAACCTATTATTGTAATAAACACGTGAAACATTCCATCAGCAAGTTACTTTCGCTGCTTGGTCGCCCGTGCCTTCTTTCCGATAACGGGGAGTTCCAGACGATGCTTGTCTAGCTCAACGTGTTGCTGCAAAATACTGCTAAGAATCAGTTCGGGCGAGTAAATCCGCTCAGGATTCGCACTTGCAAGCTGCTTGCGCACCGTCGCCACGGCCAGCGCTGCCTCACTAGTGATCACTAGATCATTAACTCCAGGCTTTCCTTTGGATAACGCCTTGCCTCCTGCGCATTCCACGATCTTCACCAGGTCTTTTACTGGCGGTAGGACGGACTTGTGGTTGGTAATAAAGACGTTGTAGTTAGCGAATAGACGCTGGCGCTGCTCAGTTGACACACCATACATTGTGTTACTCAGATCGAAGTGCCACTTGCCTTCCGCCTCCTTGTCTCGAAGGCAGTTCGCTTGTTCATCGACCGCTGCGCCAAACCGCGCCGACTCGTCTAGCCAGCGTTGACCCAGAATGTGTTTACAGCACGAAATACCACACAGCAATTTCACCGTGCGCTTCAGCTGAGGAGCAATAACATGCGTGGCTTTCGTGACGTCGCTCTCGTAGACAGCGCCGGCGATCGCCTTGATCTTCTTTCGGACAGCAGCGGTGGGCTCCAGTCCCGTCAGAACGATACGGATAGATCCAACCTCAGCTTGTGATCCAGCAGGCTCACTTTCAGTAATCGACTGGCTGTTTATAGCTCGCTTCCTGCCACGATTTGAGGGCTGCGAGCGCACCTTGGACCGCGCCAACGCTGGCGGATCCTCTTCAACCAGCTCGACTTCAGTGGACAGCTTCGCATCATCTTTCTGTATATCGCGACTTACCTCGTCAGAGCTAGGTCGACGTGCAGTAGATTGATCGTGTTCAACATCGTCGCCGTTTTTCGCCGATGCGTTTTGTTTCTCGGACGGAGTCACCAGGTCAGGGACTGACTCAGCCTCCTCACTGCGCTTGGATCGCTTAGTCCTCGAGTCACTAACGTCCGAGGAATCTCTGTGTTCACGCTTGGAGTTATGACGCCGTAAGGTTGGGCTTTGTGTGTTGTCTGGTGTCGAAAGCGACCGTCGTATACTTTTTGTGTCCGCAATAGGAGAACCCTCTTTTGTAGTCGACTTTGAGTTGCTTGCACTCTTCGTAAGCCGCGGTGTTAAGCTGTCCTTAAATAATAATTGCTTCTTCTCATTTGCTGTCTGGCTCTTCATCGGCGACTCCTCCTTTGGCTCACCTTCGATCTCTGTCTCGCCACCACTGCTGTCACCTTCATCGCGAGTTGGAAGAGCTGGAGATGTTCGAAACGGAGCGCGAGGCTTGTAGACTCTCTTTTCCACAGCTTCTGCTTCTTTCACTCGCTGCTGAAAGGAAGCAGCGATGGAGGAGAGCCCGGCAACAGAACCGTCTTGTTCCAGCATGTCGTCCGACATGTCCGAGTCGGCATCGTCATCACTGTCCCCCATTCTAGCGTCGTCAAAAGTTCCGCTTGCTGCCGATGCTATCGGCAATGGCACTGTCTCCTCAAAGATTTTTCGTTCTGGCTTGGGTGCTTCTACAACCCATCAAATATCAATACCGTAAGTCATTTAGCATCACAGCTCAAAAGCTATACCGTCTTGATCCTCGGAATTTGTCATCCGGATCTGCGTCTCTTCCTCGTCCACTTCGCCTTCATCGTGGATCTCATCCTGAGAGGGCGTAGCGGCGACGAACACAGGCGCCAGACCCTCAATAGGTTGCGTAACAGCTTCCGTTGCTACCTGGATCGCTTGGCTTTCCCGTTGCGTTGGGTCTCCCTCCAGCTGTGATAACGCGGCGCGCTTGCGGTGATTGGCTGTGTACCATTGACCTGGTGAATCGCGGAAACCCACGGGGGTCTCCTGCCCAGATGATTCCCCGTCGAAAACGCACCCGGCCTCGCCACCCATGACGCTTTTACTTGAGTTTGTGCAAGACAGCATATAAGTAAAAAAAAACGCTTTAAAAAGTGAAAATAACTATTTCGATTGTAAATTATCATAAAGTGGCAGCAGGATCACTTCAAGTGTAGTTTGGCAAACTCGATTCTAGCATTCTTGTACGTGTAGTGCCGGTCTTGCTGACTGAAACAACAACGGTATCCGGATAAAGCGCTCGACCATGTCCTTCTTGGACAGCAAGTAGTGTCTGTCGAATTCTGTCACTAAAGCTCGACTGTTACAACTCCTCTTGGTGCTTTGTAAACATTTTAATCGCCACTTCTTCGCCGATAGCTACCGAGATCTCGAATGAGGACGAAACTGAGCTCAATGAAATGCTCACCAGTGTGGGCCAGTTCAAAGTGACCAAACAGCTGTAGCCAACTAGATACTCGTGGCATGGTGTTCTGATCTTCACCTTCATGTAAAAATGGACGACCGTCGGAGAATGGGAAAATAGATAGCAGTAATCTGTTGGCGTTGGGACGGTTTGCTGGATAAGTGTGCCACACAGCATCGAAATGCATTCGCAACGGAGTGTACGATTTGGAGCCATGGAGCAACACCCTTCAGCAGAGTCTGGTCAACATGGCAAGAACTCTAGCTTCTCTGGGAACAACAAACACGATTATGAGCAGAATGATAGCGGCAACGCGAGTCCGATTGACAAGCAAGACCCGCAATCGATGTCAGAGATGATGGAATCCACGGCATTAGTTGCGATGGACGCACTCCCTCTAGTCGATTTATCTATTGCGAAACGTGACCGACATCGATCTCGGAAGCGTGATCGACATTTTGGCACCAAGACAGAAGCTCCTTCAGCCAGCATATCCAGTGACAGCGGTGATAATCAAACGACCCACTTATCGCGAAAGAACCGAATCGTGGACACACATTCCAGTAGTATCGATGAGAGTACATTGCCTCAAATACTAAAATCTGCGGTGTCATATCCTCAAAACTTAAACGTACCTTTACGAAAACTGCACAATCATCGGACGTGGCATGGAAGTTTAAAGCAACGTGGAGATAATGGAATTTCTCGCTCATTTCAACGACGCAGATCGAGCTGTGATGATACCCTTGCCGCCTTTGAAGCGACCGAGACAATTCTTTTGGCTGAACTCGAGTCCGACGAGCGGTGTGCAAGCTTCCTTCGTCAAAGAGTACCAGAGGCACGTATATCGTATTCAGATGGCATCGACTCTCCCCAGAGCCAAATTCAGTACAAAGTTCGCGCGTTGGATCGGAAAATCCTGATGAACAAGGAAAAGCTGACACAAGTACGAGAGAGAATTGCAGAGCTGGGAGGCAAACCAAGTCGGTTGGCTATTGATTTCGATGATAATAACTCGGAACTCATCGACAACGACAAGATGAATGGCCAAGTTAAAGAAATCAAGCAATCGGCACAAGCCTTAACTTCGATGCAGAGAGTAGCGACAACAATTCAGTGCGCTTTTCGAGCCTTTCGAGCACGTCGACACCTGGCCACTCTGCTAGCTACAACGTACCAAAGAGTGCTAAACCCTGGGAATAACCAGTATTTCTACTACAACCGCGTCACCAGACACAGTCAGTGGGAGGCTCCAACGCTGCTGCGTCGTTGCCACTATTCACTTGATGCCAAACCAGCAACACTAGCAAACCCCAGGTCGAGCAGTGTAGACGCAGCTGCAAAAGTCATACAAGCCATGCTCCGCCAACGAGCATTGCGAGTTTTCATGCAAGATTACAAGCTTGGCAACCTTGAAAAGATCTTTGATGCGAGATTCGGAGCCTGGTACTATTTCAACTCGAGGACAAATCGAAGCTTTTGGGAAAACGTCCACCACGTGAGACTCACCGCAGCAAATTCTGCAATTTACCATCATCAGCCTATCCGATAGTTGATAAACCACTTCATTGCAATAAAACAACATGGACACTTATGTTTGTAAACCATGATTCAATTTTCTTTCCACTCGTATATGCGTCTCCCTGTGGCAAAGTGGCGTACGGCCCGTCCGCTTTCCCAATTAGAAAACTCTCGTGATTATCTCGTTTCTCAGCCTCTATGCCTCATTCCCCCTTCTTTACGATGTCGGGATGCAGGGACGACACAATCCGCTTAGTATCGCAGCCAGTACGAGCGACGACGGATGAAGTTGTAGTCCGGCAGCTCGTGGATAGGACCCGTTGCTGCCAGGGCGTGCTCCTTGTCGTTAACGACTTCGTCAGCGGTCTTGCGGACAGCAGCAGCGTCCACGGCGTCAATGCGAGCAAAGATCTCAGCAGGGGTCATACGGCGGCCGTACGTCAGCATCTGGCGACCGATGTCCTCGCAGATAGGCGACGAACCGTCCAGCTGCATCAGCATGTTGGCCTTAAGCTGCGTCTTGGCACGCTCAACCTCGTCATCGGTGGTCTTGTGTACCAGACGCACAAGCGCCTCCATGGTGTACCACGTCAGGTCGTTCAGCTTGTACTTGTCAGCGACAGCGTACACACCGAAGAGACCAGTGTCCTGATAGCACGTGTTGAAGGACATGTACGAGTGGGCAAGCTCCTTCTCAGCGACCACCTGGCCCAGCTTAGAGGACATGTTCATGCCGGCACCCGAAGTGCGGTCCCAGCTGCCGAGCAGCGTCTGCATGATCAGCAGGGGGAACGAGTGCTCGCTAGTCCAGCTAAAACCTTCAAAAGCAATAGCAACGTGAGCTAGCGGCATGCTGTCGTCCTTGATGCGTACGTCGGAGCCGAGGAAACGCACAGGCTCGAGCGTGGGGGCGACGGCAGGAGTCGTGGGCAGGTCGCCGAACGACTTCTGGGCCAGCTCCACCAGCTGCGAGTGGTCCACAGCACCAGCACCGGCAATAACCATGCGCGGAGCGGTGTAGTGCGTGGCAATGTAGTCCTGTAGGTCCGACTTCTTGAGGTTGCGGATCTAATAGAAGCATTAAAGGAGTCAGACACTCTGTTATACTCCTTCAACAGGCTTTTCTACTCCACGTACGTTCTCAATGGGTCCCAGGATGGTGCGTCCGAGGCCGTTGCCCATGAAGGCAGTCTCGTGCAGGCGGTCGAAGATGACCTCCTCCTGCTGCTTGTTGACCTCCTCCATCTCACGCAGGATAACGTCGCGCTCACGCTCGATGGCGGCTTCATCCAGCTTGGAGTTCTGCAGGATGTCGCTGAGGATGTCCATAGCACGCGGCACGTCCTTCTTGAAAACCTTGGCGTAGTACACAGTCTGCTCACGGCTCGTGTAGGCGTTGAGGTGGCCGCCCATGTTCTCAATTTCAAGCTCCAGCTGCTGCTGCGTGCGCTTGCTCGTGCCCTTGAAGGCCATGTGCTCCAGGAAGTGGGCAGCACCGTTGTTCTGAGCCGTCTCGTAACGCGAACCGGCGCCGATCCACACACCCACAGTGGCCGTCTCGCCGTGCGAGCCCTCAGAGGCCACACGCAGACCACTGGGCAGCGTCGTCACCTCAGTGGCAGGCGCGTTCAGCACGTACGACGGGTAGTTGGACACGGCGGCCGCCACCGACGACTGCGCGCGGGTAAGCGGCTGGCGCACGAGGCTCAGCTTGGACATCATCTTGCTGCTTCTGGGGGGCGAGCTTTCAGGCTACGAATGGGAGACCACCAGTACGCTTTCGAGGCCTCACGTTTGGTGGGGATTATTTCCAATTTATAGACCGATAATTCGCAAAAATAGAGGTGGACGGGCACAAAGACGCTGACCAGGCACGCCTTAATGAACACAAGCTGCCGATTTGTTTGGCCAGAATATGTGATGGGAAGTGCTAGGCAAGTTTCCGCCCGAAGTACTGTAGACAAGGCATTGTTCTGGTGGTGCTTTAAAACACGCGCATGTATCTACGCACAATTTGTTTGCCTTGACACAAATGCTTGGGGCAACTACGTGTAGCTCAGTAGGCTGATGTGTAGGCTATTGCATTCTCACAGGCATGTATGAATGCATGTAAGAAATACAAACTTGTGCTACCTATTCGCGGACTCGAGCAAGGGTTTTATAATGTGCAAATATTGTACCTTGATGACAATATCAGGCAGCATCACTCACGCCAGCTAAGGACTTTTCAATGTGAGAGCCTTTACTGCAGCAACGAAAGATTATGATCTTTTGGGAGCGAGTGTGACAACGTATTCCGGATAGTATCTATACTTGTAAGGTGCTTCATCGACATGTAGATACACTGCTTGCGGCAAAAAGTCTGTCCACAATCGTCTAAGGAATGCAAGGGTTTGCTACCACTCCTTATTAATAGCTATCAGTGATAGCCTATCACCACAGGGCATTAGATAGGATGGCAATCAGTGCCGAGGATCAGATCGGAATCAGATAGTCATCAACACAGCTTGAGATTTCCTTTCCTTTGAATCCGTCATGGGTTCCGCAGCGGAAACCCGCGCGGGCATCCGCGTATGCGCGCGCTTTCGTCCGCAGAACAAGCTGGAACAGAAGCACCAGGCTGTGGAATGTGTGCGTCTAGAAGACAACACTGTTGCACGTGTGCACAGCGAGGCTCGCGGCGCACCGGACGATCACACGTTTACCTTCGACCAGGTCTTTGGAACCAAGTCCTCGCAGCTGAACGTATACGAAGCGACCGCCAAACCGTTAGTGGAGTCTGCCCTGCGTGGCTACAACTGCACATGCTTCGTGTATGGACAGACAGGGTCGGGCAAGACCTTCTCCATGGATGGTGTACCAGGCGACAAGGACTACGAAGGCATCATCCCACGCGTCATGGCCGATATCTTTGACGGTATCCAGAGCATGCAGGCAGACCTCGAATTTATAGTACGAGTCTCGTATATCGAGATCTACATGGAGAAAATCCGCGACCTACTCCAGCCCACGTCGACAAACTTAAACGTGCGCGAAAGTCGCGAGCGTGGCGTATGGGTTGCCGGTGCCACGGAGGTTTGTTGTGCATCCGCAGAAGAAATGCAGTCCGTGATGCGATTGGGAGGAGCAAATCGAGTCATTTCCCCCACCAGGATGAACAGTGAATCCAGTCGAAGCCACTCCGTCTTCATTATCACTATCGAGGAGCGGAACACCGCAACAGGGTCAATGAAAAGTGGGAAATTATTTCTGGTCGACTTGGCAGGATCGGAGAAAGTAGGAAAGACTCACGCTAAGGGCCAAACGCTAAAAGAAGCGCAACACATTAATAAGTCGCTCAGTGCCTTGGGTAGTGTCATGAACGCACTTACGAGCGGCAATGCCAACTCACACATCCCGTACCGTGACTCAAAGCTGACTCGACTGCTGCAAGACTCACTTGGAGGTAACTCCGAGACGACACTTCTAGTGTGCGCGAGCTCCAGCAGCTTTAACAGCGAAGAAACGATCTCCACTCTCCGGTTTGGTACTCGAGCGAAGAACATTAAGAACAAACCAAAGATAAACGAAGAGCGAACCGTGGCAGAGTACAAGATACTTGTGGCCGAAAAAGACAAGCGCATCGCCTCATTAGAGGCCCTTCTCCGAGAAACCAAAGCCAGCAACACTGACGAACCAGTCGATTCTTCAATGGAAGATCAGTTGAAGTTACTTGCAGCCAAGGTGGAAGAACTGGAAGACGATCAAGCCTCTAAAGCAGCAGAAATCTCCAGCCTTGAAGACCGATGTGTCGAGTTGGAAGCGAAAAGCACAAATCTCGAAGAAAAAGAGCGCGAGATGTCATTATTTGTTGGTCGAAACGAAGATTTCAAGAAGAAACTGGAGCTCCTGCAAAGTGAACTTGAGGCAAAGGCAAAGGAATGCGAAGAGCTGAATGAAATGCTGACACGTCGGAAACAGTCTAGTGTGGTGGAGGCGCCTCCGTTATCGGCTAGTTCAATCAACAGCGAGGCATCTGCGCAGTCGCCAATCGATGAACACAGTGGGAAAGTTATCATCGACTCTGTAGTGATGGAGCATTCAGATGAAGGAGGATCGGTACTGGAAAACGAGTTTCTTCGTCAACAGCTAACTGCAAAATCTCATGAGCTGAAGCTTTGCACAGTACGTGTTGATACATTGATGAAGGAATTGACGAGCTGCCGTCGCGAGTACGACGCTCAGATAGAGGAGCTTCAGGAGAAGCTACGCAAATTTGATGTCCACGTTCGAGGATTTGGAAATCAAGTGCCGCAATTGAAGTCGCTAGCAGCGAAAACGAAGATGTTGCGGTCTGTTCGTGGCGGTACTCGATCAAACTCACAAGACATGAGATTCGATACCAAGCCTGACGACAATAGCACTGGGCTCGACAAGGCGCAAAGCGAATGGAAATTGGATGATGAAATATTCCCAGTCGCGCCGATCGATATGGAGTCGGAGGTTGTCCAGCGATTGCTTCGTAATATGCCTGAACGAGGTCGAAAGAAGATCTCAAAATGGTTGGGCTTCGTGCTGGAAGGACGAGATATTCGCTCCAACTTCCACCCCGAGATTTCAATTAAAGGAATCAGCGAAGAAGCTAACCGCGATATGAGACGATTGATCGTTCCATTGCTCAAGAACCGCCACGATCTGAAGGTGCAATCCTATGTACGAACTCGTTACGTTCGGGTCTCGGACATAAAAATCACTTTGGATCATAAGCATAAGGACGAAGTAAGACTTGAAGCTTCAAGTGAGGACACTGCAAGCGACGATGGGGCCTCTGAAGGCTGCAATACAGTACACAAGTCCTCACTGTTGTGGGCCAAAGGCCACCTTTTCTACGGACCGAAGAGTGACGCCTCCAGTACATCCGTGCTTCACGCTAGCAGAGTGCTGATCCCGTCCAAAGGTCGGTTCGCCTCTGAGCCTGTAGAACTTGGCTCTAGTATCACCGAATCGAAGTCAATGCTGGAGGCACCTCGCAGAGCGTCGAAGTTGAGCCGAAAGCCGTCGCTTCCGTTCGATGCGTTTAATGCTCCTGGATCGAATTTAAGTAGCGGTGGCGTATTTAGTCGATTACGCACGAAGACCGGAGTGGGAGCTATGCTTGGAGATGTCAAGACGCGACTTAATGCTCGTTACCACAAGAACCATGTCCATGAAAATGCTCTATGCGATGGCTGCGGTATGAGCCCCATTGTTGGTGGCAAATGGAAGTGTAACACTTGTGATAACTACGAGCTGTGCGACGGCTGCTATGCTGCTGGAATCCACGGCTTCGAGGTCAACAACGAGTTGTGTCGTCGTGTGGAGCAGCTTGCAGTACAGAAGCATCGTTTGCTTGGCGAGTATCCAGAGCTGCTTGAGCTCTTTCGTAACCATATCTGCCACGACCATGTCATCCACTTCAGGCGCGTTGTGGAATGGCTCTGCGCGATTGTGTCGGGTGCACGTTCGCAAACGATTTACCACAAGATGATCGTGAAAAGCGGACTCCATCCCGACATTCGGTCGCGTTTAGTGGCACAGCTTGGAGCACTAGCTAGCGAACGCACTGACATCTCTTTGAAGACGGAGTGGTTTGTAGAGATGACTCCGGAGGAAGAAGCTGCGGGATCGGACGACGCAGCGGTCGACTCGTCGCCTGTTGAGCTGGACGGGGACAAACTGTCGCCGAGAGTTCGATTGGAGACACTGCGAATGTATCTGACGGATGCATCTGGCTTAAAGCAAAGCGATGAGCCTGGTGCCCCAGCTGCACTCTGCGATTTACTAGATCCGTCCGCCAATGTGGACGTCGATGGTACTGTAGCGCACTCCTCTCAACCACCGACATTGCGACGAACCGTCAGCGCTAGTGAGGACGACCGAGTGGGCCAGTTGCCAGACATGCCACGGAAACAGTCGCTGGACTTGCCAATTTATGGCAGTCAGCGCGTTAAGTCGATCACGCAAATGAATATGTAAGACTGCATTTTGTTCATTTAGAAACGCGAAGAAATGCCACAAAATGACACTAAAATGACGAATGCTTTTCTTCTGCGATGATGCTTGGTTGTGGCACGAAGAAATGCTGACACATGTGACGGGCCTTTGACTCGTCACATTTGCGCTAGGTAAGCGAACGTTGGCCTCATGCTTGCCGAGGAAAGCTTGCCTGTCGCGAGGCTTCTTGCTCGAAGAATGCGTCACTTCAAGAGTCATGAATCATGCTTGGTCTTTGCAACGTCTGCTTGGACCCAGCTTCAAATCATCCGCTCAGATCACAAGTTCCGCTTCGTTTTTCGTCACTTTGACACGAATGGAAAAGCAGTGCCGCGAGCACCGGCGACTGCCGCGCATGTCTGTTGCGCTCCTATAAGTACTGTACATCGCATCTAAACCTGTTGCAACAAGCAGTGAGCCATGCCCTTCACGAGAAAAAAAAACAATAGAGGAAATGATACATTAATCGGCCTCATGCCTTCCTAGCTCCTATCTCGTTTTATTCCTCCGAGATGCAGAGCAACACCGCCAATGATATAAAGAGAGTGAACGCGCCACGAAGCGGCGTCGTCAAACCTTCACCGACACCAAGGAGACAGCTAGAACACCCAACGCGCCTAGAGGCTGGCCTTGCTGCACTCGGCCACAAACTCGCGCTGCGGCGTGGAGAGTCCCCACACAGGTGCACCTCGAATGAGAAGACGCTGAATGAGCGTCCCTTCCTCGGTGGCGATCCGCGCAAGCGCCATCTTTTGCTCTTCAGCCGCGAGAGAGGCCTTCTGCGCTTCCCATTGCTTCATGAGTTGCTGTAGCTTGGTCAGATCCTGCGGTTCTGCGCGCGCGCCAGGACTGAACTTTGAGCTGGCTTCGGAGCGCGTCTTGGCCGAGCCATAGAAACCGCCCTGGCCTTCAGAGGGCTGGCCGCCCGAGTACGTGGTGAGCGAGCGCGTCGAGTTTACACGGCCGGTGGAGGCAGCGCGGCGGCAGGTCTTAAGTACGGCGGATCGCATGGTCTTGTAGTGAATGTGTTGCTTGAAACGGTTTTTGCGTGTATACGTCGGCAAAAGCGGAAATGGAAAGTGACCGCTGCAACTTGTGGCGCAAGATTCTCTGTCGATAGGATGGCGATGCACGCTCCCATAGCACCAGAATTTAGGAGAACCGGTCCTGGTTTTGTGCATTTCTAAAATCTCGACCAATCACGGACGTCGACGCGCTGGGTGTAGACTGATGTGGGCCGCCTTCAACTCATCCGAGAAAATAGGAGAAACACACGTCCATGGTGGACGTGTGGACTCCATCGCTGGGATAACACACACGAGGTGGGTGCCATAGCCGCGGCGCCAACTAAGGTGAGCGGGTGCGAGGCGGGTCCAGCGCTGAGCTCACCAGCGAGCCGAGCACTACACTTTCCAGAACATTCTATCTCCATATTGCGAGCGCAGCGAACCGCGGGGGCGGCCCAGCGCGGCTGGTCCCTTTTCTGCTGTGACCTCTAATCGTCGATTATGTCTTATTGCGACACTCAGAAGGTCAAAAGTATACAGAAGTCAAGTCAAATGATTTGCTGTGTGCTGAAACAGTAAATACATGTGTTTGGCATGTTCTGTCTCGCTTGCCTTATCGATGCACATTTGTGCAATTGAGCTACAGTAAAATGGCAGCGAAAAAGCTCATACTATTTTTGCATTGCTCGAATCACACAAGTTGAATGACACAATTCCTCGTTTCACTTGCTGTTGACCCAGGAAAACAAAACAGGGTTGACCAATACCCAGTCACTGGCATGTAGCTTTCTAGCCGTCGATCGGTGCAACTGGATTGATGGCTGTCCCTCTGCTTTGCTCGCGGTTAGTACTGTACAGTACATGCAGAGGCAAAATAGTAAACAAGTCGTGGATCGTTAACTACTTTTGTTTTGTCGTTGTGCATGTGATCTTCTGGGCCAGAAGTTCTGGCAGCTACAATTGCTGCTATCATGAACTCGGTAGCCGTTGTTAAACGCTGCATAAACTTTTGCCTACGCGAGTGAAAGTAGGCAGCAAGTAAGTTACACGCTCACAGTACTATCCCTTCTACTAGTACAATCGCAAAACGTAGAATAATTTTCTTTTTAGTAAGAATCATTAATATGGCGTTGCGATGCGGCGCTTATTAATGAAGGCATCGGATTTCTTCAACATGGATTTCTGCTTGGGTCTCAAAAACTGGGCCGTCTATGCGTTCGCACTCAAAACGCACGCCTGATTGGACGCCGTTGAAGTTGATCCTCGATTCGCGTCATGACCACCAGCCCCGAACCGGAGGCTACGCCGACGAAGAGGGCGGCACGCTCGTCGCTTTTGACTCTTGTGGTGATCTCCGCGCTCCCCGTCATCGTGGCACTATTTGTGACGGTTTGGGCGTCACCTTATTGGCTGTTACAGTGGCGTAACGTATCGTTGTCTACGAATGTGACTACACAGTCGCCTGCGGACGACGTGCTTCTGGACAAGTACGCAAGTGACTTGGTGAAGATCGCCTATCACCCTCTATTGGTAAGTGCAGCTGGGGAAGAAGTCCAATGTCCGGACTTTCAGCCGGTAGATGAGGAGTTAACGCACGTGGAGCTGGCGTTGGACCGAGAGGAGCAACTACGAGATCAGGACCGCGTCTTTATCATGCTTAACGGGCAGAACGAGGGGATTTACTTGCCCTGGATATATCATCCCAGCGAAGACGCGTGTCTCTTGGAGCTTGCACAGACTGCAGCCTTGGGTCTCGGCGCGGATCCGGACCGGGTGGCCAATGGTTTAAAGCTCTTTTCCATCGATGGTTTGCCCATCATGACAACAGAAGAGCTCCATTTGCATCGTATTGCTCATGTACTGCTAGATGGGCAGCTGTGGGTCTGGCCAGGCGTTAAGGTGGCCTACGTTCGGGAGGTCGACGGCTGCACAGTTACGACACGGTCGCTTCATCCCAAGGTATTCACAGTAGAAGGCTTCTTCTCACAGGAGGAAGCAGATGCCATTATTGCTGAGGGTGTCGACCACCTCTCTCGCTCTCCTGTCGATAGTTCCGAAACAGAGGACGGATACCACGCTGACCGGACGAGCTACACGGCGTTCCTAGACGACAGCCACTTCACACGCGATTTCCGCGTACGATCTTCACGTCTTGCTCGACTGCCATCTCCTAGTTACACCGAGAACATGCAGCTTGTGCGGTACGAAACGGGGCAATTTTATCGCAACCACGAGGATTACTTTGAGTCGAAAGAGTTCGTTCCGAACATAGCGTTGAGTGCTAACCAGTTTGAGGCGTGGATCGAATGGGCCTCGTCCAAAATCGAAGAACTTTGCCGAAAGCATGGTGACAATATCGTTCCTGCTGTGTTCCAACCTGGAGGTGCGATGTTTTTCCCGACGTTCAAAGCACAACAACGTTTCAAAATGCACTGCTGAAAAGCTTCATGGAAGATGCTGAGGCTGATAATTTCTTCTGGAAACACGCCGACTTGGAGTGGAGTGAATGGATTAACGAGAATCTTAAACGGGGAGCAAATAATATGATGATTCCGCTGCTGGAAGACAAAAGTTACATGCTGCCATACATTGTGGCATCATGGGAGAAACGTGCTCAACGTCCCGAACTTGTTTATCAATTTCCCAAACCTCCGATAAGTGGCATTTCGCAATACTTTAGATGGATACGTTGGGCAAAGGAAAGAGTACAGTTGCTAATGGATACGCAGCTTGAAGCTGTACCGAAATGTGTGAGACCCGAAGGGCAAGACTACCCAACATTTTACATGAGTTTTCAGACACGTTTGGTAAACTATCTCCTCGAAGACTACAGTCAGGAATTCCTACTTGAAACAATTACCGAGGATCTGTACAAGTGGCTGGTTGAAAACAAGAATAACGATGATACGTTGCTGGAAGTGCTGCGTAATAGTCAAGCTGCGTTCGATCTCGTGGTGAAGTCGTGGGTCAAGCGTGCTGGTGATTTATTTACCTACGAGAAACCCAAGTATCTGTACCACTTTGAGCCGAATCGTTTCGTGACGCTCTTCTTGTATCTCAACGACTGTCCTGAAGGCGGTGAGACGATCTTCCCGTACTCGAACGAGCGTCTAGTGACTGGAATCGAGCGAGAGGGAATGGACGAGTGCTCCGATGGACTCGCTGTGCCACCTGTGAAGCTTACAGCGTCATTATTTTACGCGCAAACGCCCATGAACGGCTTGGACCCGTCCAGTCTTCATGGAGGTTGTCCGCCAGCTAAGGGCATTAAATGTACGTTCGTCTGTTATAGTCCGAGGACTTTGACTAACAAAACTAAATTTGCTATATCTGTCATTGTAGTCGGCGCCAACTCGTTCATGTGGAATGGCGACGCTGACGAGGGCGCCAATGCTTGGGGCCTGTCTGAAGACATTAAAGCGAGAGGGAACCCTGTAATCCTCGTCTAACAAAAAGCTCAAAAAGAATTTCTAGTCTCTATAAAAAGCTACCATTGCATTATCGCCAAGGCAATAAAGCAGGATGGGGCACACGGCCAGCGTGAATCGGCAGCGACGTGTCTCGACGGGCACACTGTATGGAGAGCCCGCGGGTGCGGCTACAGCACCGCGTGGGAGCTACACGCCAGCGCAGATGCAGGCGCTGTATCTCAGTCGAGGTCGGCCGGATATGGCGTTCATGTCCAACCAGGGTCGCGTCCCCGTTGACGTCCCAGAGCTGCAGCAAACGTGCACGGTGAAGAATCCCGTAAACCTCAAGAAGGCCAGTCTCAAGCTGCTGCGGTCGCCGACGGAGCCGCAGCAGTACGCGCTCGAATTCCAGCTCGATGCCACCAAACGGTGCCTGATCAGTGTGTATTTGGTGGCTACGGAGACTATCGACGCTGATAGTGGCGGGTCCAGCTTCGCGCTGGTGCATTCAGACAAGAACCCGGTGCTAAGCCAGCACTTCCCTTCCGGATTGGGACAGGTATTTGTTCTTAAAGGAAGCGAGAAGGAAGAGAACACAGTAAAGGAGGAGGAGCAAGAGAAGCCGGAGCAACCTTTGCCACTTCTTGACTTCTCATCGTACGACCCGGATGAGTTCGTATACAAACCCGGCACAGCACAGTTCCCATTAATAATTGTCCTCGAAGTTGCTTCGGACAGTAAGTGTAATAGCACGACTTCACCGATGTTCTTGATGCTTACGACTTGCTTTGCCATTGACAGAGAAGCGCCCGCAATCTCAAACGACGTTCTGTACGTTCGTCAAGAAAGGAGAAGATTCGTGGGATGTCAAGATGCTCAAACAGAAAATCCTGGTACGAAAATCACTTGTCTTCCCACTTTAGAAATGCTCCTCACGTTTGTTGAATCTCGCTCCAGGTGGACGGATTGACGTACGAGTTGCAAGAGATCTATGGCATCGACGGATCTGTGGCTGCCGCACCGAAAACTGAGCGCAACGGTGCATCAGGAGATGGCCAAAGCGACACCACCCAGGCTGCGAAAGAAGAGATCGACATTCCTGAAGGTGCCGAGTGCATTATCTGCCTGTGTGAACCGCGCAATACCACAATTCTGCCATGTCGACACATGTGTCTCTGCACCGAGTGTGCTGAGGCATTGCGTCGGAGCTCCAGTACGTGCCCAATCTGCCGAACTCGCGTTGAAGCTTTGCTCCAGATTCGAATCGAGGCTAAAGAGACCACAACGACCGAAGCTGAAGAAGAGAAGACCGAGGTAGAGGACACCACGTAAGTGCTAGGTAAACTACGGAATTTCTAAGACGCATGCAACATCTTGATCGAAAGAATTTATCAAATTACTGCTTCCTTCCTACGTCCTTTCGCAGTGTAGTGGACCACCGGAATCAAAAGTTACCCCTCGGCTTTCGTTCCAGCCAGCCCATTACACCTATTGATCGGATTCTCTATCTGGTGTAGACCTCGTCTTTGTTGGAGACACGTTTTGCCGCTTCACAGTCCGACAACTGGGTTCCGCGCCCTTGGTTTTTTTTTTTCTTGGTGTGTTTTTTAGTTGATTATCTTGTACAAATACTCATAGCGCCCGACGGTGCGTGTTTGGTGGTGAAAAGACTCGACATAAGGCGTTGTTCGCTAAGTTTTGCGCCCTTCATTGTCGATTAGTTACACCAAAACACATGCAGATAATACGTTACTGTCGCACCGCATCCCCTCCGCTGCCCTGATCTGTGCTCGTGCTTCGTCTCGCAGACTAGATCAAACTCATGCCATGCCTTCAGGCCCTGTGGCTGTCGACATCAGCTAATTGTTCTTCCTCCACATTCCCTTCATCTGCAAGACGATTAAAAAAGAAAAGAAAAAACAAAGTCAATTTAAAGAAATCAATACCAAGCTGTTCTCTCACCCTAACGCCCGACCTTCCTTACAGAGAGATGACTTACCAAGTTGGCGACTTGTTCGGGGGCATCACGGAGTCGGTTTGACGTCGACGGAGTCGAGCTGACATCGCCCGTTGGGCCATAGTAAGGGCTGCTCTGGCCTTTGGCAGGATAGCCCCGCTGAGATCTTGTCTGCGGAACCTCCTCTGCTGCGACTTTCGCATTCAAATCATTACGCGGAGGACTGCCGGCGTTATTGTCTCCCCGTAGCGAGCCTTGGTGATTGAAGCTGTTGTCTGCACTGGAATTTGAGTCATCGGACGTGGTAGGGGATCCGACTTTACCGGCGTTGTATGACAACTTGCGCGTCATCATCTCGACCATTTGCTCCCTCTTCTTCAGCTCACTTTCGCGACGCATGTAGTCCACTTCGAGCTCTGTAAAATTAAATAATAATAGCAAGTAAGATCACAAGTCCACATCCCGTACAAGACTCGTCAAGTGTTCGCACCTTTCAGCTTCTTCTCACGAGCCATCAAAGCAGCCTCCTGTCGACGCAGATCTTCCTCAATTCCCAACAACTCCTTCATTTTCTGGTTGTAAGACGTCTGCAAGTTCTGGTCAGCAGCTGGCGGCGGTACGTTCGCTGCAGTGTACGCACGTAATCTCTGTTGCAGTTGTGGCACACGTTCCAGGTCCTCGATTCTCGGTCGTCGAGAGCGTTGTCTGTGCAGCATCCATCGGATGACCTGGAAAAGTCCCTCCGAGTACTGGGACGGGATACGCGTGAACTTGCCTGCGTTAATCTTTTTCGCTAGTGCGAGCTGGTTCGTCGCGTCGAAAGGAGGCCCAAGTGTAGCCATCTCGTACAGCAAACAACCCAGAGCCCAAATGTCGGATCGGTCGTCGTAAGTCATCTCGTTCACCATCTCTGGACTCATGTAGTACGGAGTGCCGACGTTCGTCTGGGCAAATCGAGACTCGCTACTGAGTTCCTTTGCGAGCCCAAAGTCACCGAGTTTCGCATTGTTCTGTGTGTGGGATAAAGACAAAAAAACCCTGTGAGAAAACAGCATATACCAAATACAAAGAAAAAACTAAAAAACACAAGTAGCGAAATTGCCATCGTACGTTCGAGTCTAGGAAAATGTTGCCAGGCTTGATGTCACGGTGAAGAATAGGACGAATGACGTTGCCCTCGCGGTGACGGTGACACTCCTTCAGCGCCAGGAAAATGTGCGTGAAAATGTGCCAGATAAAGCCCTCTTCGATGTAGGACCTGCAGATAAAATTGCCATAAAAAGTCAGGAAATCCACTCGAATAGATACAAGATGCTGTTCTTGGGATTGGCATCGAACAATGGCGTACCCTTCCCGCTTTTTCCTCTTGATGAACTGGCCAAGGTCACCACCTTCGCAGTATTCCATGACGATGTAGATCTTGGTTGCCTGCTTGTCGATCACTCGGTCCAAGTACCGGACAATATGCGGGTGCCTTAGTTCCCTCAGAATATTCACCTGCAACATCCTATAGCGTTAGTGCTTGCACTCTCTTGTTCCATATCTAGACCTGGTCATGCTGACGCACCTCGCTGACGATGAGTTGCTTCTCCTTCTCACTCATGGCGCCGTAGTTGACTTCCTTCCACACCAGCATCTGCTCGCCACATTACACGTTAGTAAAAAGTCCTGCAGTCTCCTGTTGGCGTATTCCTGGAGTCTCTGCTGCTCACCTTGCGGTCTGCCTTACGCACGATCTGCGTCACGACGCCGAACGAGCCCTTGCCGATGATGCGGACCTGCTCGTACGCGTCCATGTTGGATAACTAGTGTGTTGATACTGTGAGGAGGAAATAAACCGCTCTGGGCTGTAGCTGCGAGAGAGGGAGGAGCTGTGTGTCTGGTAACGCGTGAGTCGAGATCGAGGCGACTGAAACACGGGTCGCCTCGGGGGAACTTCTCTCCTCTCCGCTGTTCTTCGTTTGTGGCGGGGCGTTGGTGTCGTTTTGTGTAGGGAGAGAGTCAGTGGGGGGAGGGAGAGTCGTGAGGACGATTTGATAACTGATAGGATATCGGATAAGGTAGAGACTAATTAACACTCCGTTTTACAGTCTCCCCGAAATCGAGGCACGTAAGAGGCGGAAGAGAAAGTCGACATCGCAAGTCGTGCATTTTTCGGCGCGTCGTTGGCGCTGCAGCTTCACGCTCTGAGCTGCAAACACAGATGTCGACTTGAAGCTGATAATCTCTTTCCGTCTTTTTGGTTGCAATCGAATGGCTACATCTTCAGCTTTTTTTAATGCTCAGCAGCCAGTAGAGCCTCCTGGTCGAGTGCATCTTCGTCTAGCATGAGCGAGACCCTTCTCTTCTTGGCGTTTGTATGGTTCAAGATGGACCCGTTCTGGTAGTCGACCACATTCAGCGCGATACCCACGAGACTGCCCAGCACTCCGAACGACACGAACAACAACTCCACACCTGGAATGTATCGGTCGTCGTGGTTGAATTCAGCCGCTACTGCCAGCGGGAACAACGCAAGGCCGATGTTCTGTATTGGTACACGCAAGAACAACGTGTTAGAATCTAGTACACCAGCTTAAAAGCCGCATCGGAGCAACATGGTCGCTAGAATAAAAGGGTGTTTTTAAACGGGGAATCCATGGAACGCACCTGGATGGCAGTGATCGCTCCGTACGCTGTTCCAACGTGTTTGGCTTCCACCACGTCTGTGTAGGCAAAAGATACGATTAAATTCATGTAAGCTCTTCTAAAACTCAGCAGTGAACGTACATGGGACTGAAGGCCATAGCGCTGCGGCAAACACGCTGTAGGCAACACCTTGCAGCACCAACGGCACGTACAGTGATACTTGAGTCAACCCGAGCATGACGTGAACTACCGTCAGTGCTAGAGGAGCCAATAACGCTAAAAAGGCGCGGAGACCAATCCGATCAACCACAAAGCCTAAGAACGGGGAAATAACCGCGCTGATAATATACGGGATGGACATTGGAGTGGCAGTCTTCTGCGCCGCATCGGTCTTCGTGGCACAGTACGTCTTGGTCAAAGGGCCAAGCTTCCACGCTTCATCGTCGCAATTAATTTTATCACCAAGAATCAGTGGAGGAGAAGTCGAGCAGTCCCATTGATCCAGTGGCTCTTTGATCGTACAGTTCGCAGACAACAGAGGGAGTGGCCATCCGTACGGAGGGACGCTAGGACATCCAGAGACGATCTCTTGGCAGTCAATTTCGCCAATGTAGAGTCCCTCTCCACACCTTCGACACAGCTCTGGAGGCTCCTTGAAGAAGTCCCGCTCCATTAGGAGACTGCTGGCAACGTTGTTGAAGGGGATAACGCAGCCGTACACGACCAAACAACTCAGCGCCAATAGCCAAAACGCTGGACGGAAATGTTTGACATCACTCAAGTGAATACTCTCAGCAGCAGTCACTCCTTCTTTCTGGTTCTCCCTCGACATCTTCTCCGCTCTCTTGTCGATTGGGATCACCAGTAGCACAGTGACGGCAGATCCCACACACATGATGACACCCACCCAAAGCGCAGCCGACACACTGGATGATTGAGCGACGATTGGACTCAGCTCATTGTTGATAACGCTTCCAAGACGAGCTACACTGAGGTTAATGCCCAAGGCCAGTGCGAGCTCACTGTTCTTGAACCACGAGGCTACGAGCGTCCCCTGAGCTACACCCAAGCTCTCACCACCGAAACCGAACATCACTCGACCAAACTTGTGCAAGAATGATGTTAAAAATTATGGAATAACAACAAATTGCAGCGTATAATTTGCCTTACCAGCATCAGATTGAAGCTAGATAACGAGCAGCCAGTTGCAAAGATCAATTGGCCTGCCAAGATTGCCGTCGAGAAAGCAAATAGCATCACACGCGCACCGAATCGATCCACCAGCACACCGCCAAAGAACGGCAGCAAGATGTTGGGGATCGAATACAGTGTGTACAGCAGGTTCTACAAGCATGCATCAACAATTATTACCGGAAAGCATGCGAGATACACTGTACGTGTCTTGAAAACAACAACTGTTGAACGTACGAAGAGAAACTCGTAGCGGTCCTTTGGGATGTTGCTGAAGTGCTGCTGCAGCTGACTCTTTAGCGCTGCCGGGTTGTCGAAGCAGTAGTAGTTGCCGATCATCAGTACACATGACAGAAACAGCACCAGCCAGCGCACGCGCAGCTCGCTCTTCTCCGCCATGATAACTCTTCTCAGGGGGAAGGATGTGATATCTGAGTCTGACTCAGATTGGCTATGTTTCATGTAAGTACGAAAGCACTTCAACTTGAAGAAGTAAAGCATGATCTTAAGTTCGTCTTTCTTACGTCGCTCCTAGCCTAAAGCGGCAAGTCATTGTTGATCTCATCCACGTCGGGGTCTTCAGTTCTGGAAAATCGTCGCTGCTGTCGTTGCATGAACTTCCGCTTCCGCCACCACTTTTGGATAGTCGTCGCGTAGGCATTATTCCACATTTGTGCTAAAATCTCTTGACGGCGCTGATCCTCCAGACGAACCTTCAATTCGTAAAATCGAGCTCGCGCTTGCTTCGCACGATATGCATTCTGTAGCACTACTGCAGCCGCAGTTTTCCGCTTCGACGCGCTTTCCACGCGTAGTCCAAAGTTGCGAATGAACCGCGTGTATCGGAAAAACTTCAGTAGTACCCGCCTTGCTTTTGCTAGTCTGGCATGCCTCGCTTTGGCATGCACAATTCGCTTTCTCCTGCGTCGTATCCAAATTTGAATGGAGACTGCTGCACGATACCTCGCTACGTGGTGGATCCATGTGAGATAATCCCGCTTCTTCTCAATGTACCGCACTAAAGTACGTGTGATCACACGAGCTGCTCGTTGCTGCGTCATCCAAGCTGCACAACGCACGCGAAAAAGATACGAATGGTAGAAGCGCCGCACCCGAAGCGCAGCCTTATTGTACGCAATAAAGCGTTTTTTTCGCTTGACCATTTTTCTAGAATAAAACCCTCGCCATTGGGCTTGAATCAATGTCGCGACTTGATGCAGGTGATGAACAGCTGCTGCTCGTCTACCTTCCACACCGCGTATCCAGCTTTGTATTGCAAGAGCAGCGGCAATAATTTCGTCTTCACGTTGACGAGCAACATTCGACATCCAACGACGCCATAAGCGAAATACTACACATTCTAATCTCTTGCGCGATCTGCTAAGAACAAACAACGCACATTTTCTAGTCGTATACATGTAGATCAACAGAACGCGTTAGTATTTTTTTATAAGACTCTTGCGTCTTCACAAACGTAACTTACAGCTGACAAAACCTTCGAATTTGGTTGTAACATTGCGCCCACATCGTTTGCTGCCGCCAGTGAGCAAACCGATGGCGCTTGGCTCGATGAAAATATCTGGACACGACAATCTGATCAAAACGTTAGAGAAGAAATCAAACTCGACTTTGATAGTGGTCTTACCCATATCTTTTCAACCGCAAATTGCTTTCTCATTGTCAAGGAGCGAGCTATTTCTTCTACGCAATGATCACGGACCCATTCCCGAATTTCGAGTGGGCAATCGATCGTTGCCGGCCTTAGATATGCTTTGATTGGTACCATCAATTTCTTTTGAGGTAATTTTGGCCGTGTTACAGTGCATGGTGGCGTTCGCTTCAATAGGATTATCTCTGGGAGTACCACACAGCTTGAGCGCGAAGCGGGTAATGCTCGGCCGTGAATCCATGCATTTTGCGTAAGCTTATCACATAGTGAGAGGGATCGTATAATAGGAGAGCGAGCTTTAGACCACCCATTTTGCCGGCGGAGCATGACAAGACTCATCTCCAGTTCCATGACCTGGTCATACGTTAGTTTTGTTTCTCTCAGAAAACTTGCGTTTTCTAGCGTGTCAGCCACACTTGGATGTGCGAGCAAGAACATATTATCTTCGCCAGTCAAGCATTTTAACCGAAATTTGTCCTCCCATATCGTAAGCGCGTGTTCGCGTAAGGTACTTGTTGGTGAATGTACGCCCGTGTTCTTGTCTGATGCCAGCATGAGAGGTTGATTCAAAGAGCGTGGAGGTGTTACCTTTGTTGGTAACGAGGCCACGGATCTATTGCGCTTCGTGTCATCAATCGCTCTCCCTTTTAGCAGCCTAGGCTCCAGCAAATTTCGGGCCTCACACAAATTCCTTTGCTCTGGTAAGACCTCATTTAAGATGCTGGACACGCTCCATTTCGTCCCATTACAAGCAGCAAGTCGCTGAATCAAGCTGACAAAGCCTTTAGAAACCACGCACGGCTCGTCAGTTTCAACTTGTCCTGCCATTAGTATTGTCATCACCTGCTTCTTCACGCTTCCTACTACGTTCCGCCATCGATAAACAACACCGACTCGTGTCAGAATCAGTTTTTGTATTTACTCTAATTCTGGTTGTTTGTTTCACTCGAAGTCCACTCGCAAATTCAGCTCCTTTGCTTCCATAAACTCGATAAGTTCTTGGTATTCGTCTTCACTCAGATAAGGCCGTGTTGCGCGTAGTCCATCCATGTATAGCGCTTTACTCCACGCACAGGCTGCAATTCCTCGGTATAACACCTTCTTTGCAGCGTCCACCTTTCCTAGAGCAACTTCAAAGCGCATATATAGCCCCCAGCAAAGCGCGTTCCCCTTTGTTCGAATCTGATTCACCATGCTTTCAAACATTTGTCGGATACGGTTAACTGCCGTCGCGTTCATACCCCAGCGATGATTCAAGCAGCAGACTTCGTCGACACTTGACTTTGACCTTTCCCTGGTCGTCGCAGCTCGCTCAGCACGGTAAAATTCACAGAGCAGCGCGAACAGCCACTCCACCAACTCTGGTGAGTCAAAGTGTCGACGCCACCTTTTCTCTACCCGAAGGAAGTAATTGCGAAGCACCTGTGAGATGGTATTTCCCGTCTCGGCATCAACAAAGAGTCGAAGAAACAGCTTGTTGGTTGAGAATTTCTCCACTGCTTCACCGATTGACGAACGCCATTCACGAGGGGCGAGACTAGGAGCTACGCCCGACACTTGATGTTGCTGCATGAAATCGAGGAAGCACGTCCACATCCACGATACATGCGAACAAAACTGATGCTCTGCGTTGGCCAAAGTCTGCCGGTATTCACGACAAGCTGCATCAAATCCGTCATAGGTGTAAACAACGAGTGCCAAGTTGTGCATACAGTACCCAGCCCAACAGCTTGATCGATACTGTGAGCTAGTATTTCCTTCGAGCTTTCGCGTAGTTGACTCGACGCAATGCTGAATCGCAAAGTGGAGATCCGCTCGATATCTCGCAATGAGATCAGTTCTACATGTAGTCGACGGATTGGAAATCAAGAGCTCCTGCAAGTAGTCATTAGTCCGGCTCTTGTGCTTCTTGGTAATCGTTTCAAGCGATTCCTTCTCCGTGTTATCCAGTTGCCTCGCACTCCAGAGCGTATACAGACATCGCAACAATCGATTCTGCGCTTTTTCATTGTTTTTCTTTCGCTCACCAGAGGACGACCACAATTCGAGACGTGCTTGAAGAAAGGCAAAACGATGGAAATCTCTTTCCGATTGCGTGTTGACGGAAGGAGATGCAAGTGACTTGAGCGTGTTGGCACAGATACGCCGAACTTGGCGCTCGTTTCCAAGAGTTAGCTCCAGCTTAGCATAGGCGTACAGAGCAGTAAAATCTGTGTCGCCCTTCTTGCTTCTTTTCGCTAAGATTTGACTCAAACGCCGAACGTACGCTATGCTTTCCTCCGAAGCTCCAAGTGCACGGATAACTTCAGCTTCGAAGCCAATCCACAGACACTTAAGGGCACTTTCAAATTTCTCATCCGTCTCATGAAATGTATCCACAGCTTGCGCGAAGACTCGACGGATAAATGCCACCTTGCTGGGGTCGCAGACCACTCCTCGCTTCACTGCAATGTCTTTAAGAAGAGCACTCTCCAGCAACATCTTACGGTCACTTGGATCAAGAAACAGCTTGTGTTTGCTGGAGTTGGCAACGTCCGGATTAAGCACAGATAGAATCGGAGCCACGAGCAGTTCGTAGCCCGCAGAGCCGTCGCTGTACATTGACTCGCAACCTGGGAGACTAGACTCCCAAGAAAATTCACCTCGCCACTCGACGCCGCACATCTGCAGGATCTCCGCGATAAGCCTCCATTGGTACGCCTTTGGAACAGAAAACAAAAAGGGCTGGAGTTCTTCAGTCAGTGTAACGCGGTCTGGCTGATCCTCAATAAGATCTTGATGAAGAGGGTTGTTTGAACGTAACGGAGCCCACTGCTCTTGTATCTGCACTTCTTCACGGTTAAGCCATTGTAGAAAGCGGTCATCTCCGTCAATGGAATCGTAATTTGCACGTTGATCTTCCAGTTGTGAATGTGTCTCAGCTAGTACTGCGCGTTTCAGCTTCTCCTTGTCAAGCAATTGAGTCTGCCGAGCACGCGCATTTTCCGTACCCCGTAGCTCGGCGAGAATGCGCTCGTACTCTTTCGAATCGTTGGCGTCATCGACGTTGATGCGATACCCATGCAAGTTACTGTAAATCACTTTACCACCTCGCCTGGATTCCGTCTCGGATTCGTCACTTGATGCATCATTCGAGTTGATCTCACTGTTCTTCTCTGTCGCATCACTTCGACGTGATTGACGTTGATATGCTGCAGAAGCTGACAGCAAACTCTGCCTGTGTACTTCTGTTCGCAACACTTCAGGAGGATTCACTTGATCGACAGCGGTAACACACGTTTTCTGAATGAAATCTTGGAGCTGTACAAGTGAAGGCTTCGGAGCGTCTGCCAATGTCTCAATGCGCGAGACAGTCTCGTCACCAAATCCAATCGCATCTTCCTTATTCCACCGTAAAGCAAACGTTCGCAGCAATTCCAAGTGACTCTCTCCGCTGCCACGCCCTCCAGTTACTGCACCCTCATTTCGAGTGAAATCAATTAGAGCTTGCAACTGAGCGAGTGAGCGTTCGATGAAGCCTGCTCTATTCTCGAACTGGCACATGAGAAAATGAAAATCGAGCAGCAATTCCGTCAACTCCTTCGACTTCGCTCTCCCGCTTGTTGATAAAACTGGTTCAGTCGTCGTTGCTGCAGCACAGACGCTCTCTTTTCTTAAAACAGAAATGATACGAGCGTAGAGATCGCGTACAGATTGCATTGAGAAGCTACCAAAATGTTGATGGCGACTTTGAAGCAGCTTGAACCACAACCCACCGTTCATCGGATCTTCAGAGAGAAGACGCTCGAGTTGCTGTTGAAACAAGTCAACATCAGAGCTTTCGCCAGTCTGCAATGACATGTTCAGTTTGACGCGATGCAACTCTCGCGACTGAGGATTCGTAGCTAGTGCTCTTGCAAGAATTGCAGCTTGCTTTTCCACAATACTTGCTTTTATAGCTGAGCTCAATCTTTTTGTCTTGGGTTGAAGCCGAATTGTCTGCTCCTGAAAGGTTATTAAATCGAGCCAGCTACCAACATTGTGTGGGTTAGCTGTAACAGCAGTGTTGAGGAATTTGCTGCGTTCCACTAGATGTTGCTCCACGCTTTGCCCGTCAGTGAGAAGAATTCCGTTCGTGTCATCATTGGCACGAGAGAAACCATCGTACACCTCACCCATATCGCCCACATCGAGTACCGGATCAAGCGGAATATACGTCATTTCAGGTAGACGGTGGTCAGGTTGATTCATGACGTCTTTAGCTGCTACACGAGACAATCTTTTCTCCGAATAGGCGAGATACAGACGCTTCTGTCGAGCATTTCTCTCTAATTTGCGTGCCTGGGGCGAAAAGTATCGACCTGTGTCTTGGCTGTTCTTCTCCTTGCCAGATCCTTCACTACTGATATATTTTGGCCATGCTTGGGATATCCATGCACCGGTATGCAGGTTCCGTTTCGTAGCCAACTCGTACAGTGGCTGGTCGTGGACATACGTCGATCCGAAGAACTGGTTCTCGCGATCACCTACACAGTCGAATTCAAAGAGTTTTTCGCTCTCTTTTCCTGCATTTTGACCGCAGACAGCAACATCTTTGGCAGTTTGTTTCGCGATCCGAGTCTCCTTATGACAGCGCAACTGGGAGCGCGACCGAGAGTTGCTGCGGCTACGATGCCGTCGTCGTCGAGAGCGATGACTAGAGCGACGCCTTTCTTCGTCATCGTCACTACTGTTGGAGCGACTCCACGACCTGCGCCGTTTCTTGTCTTTGCTCTTCTTCTTGAGGTGGCGACTCTCGCGCGATGCCACGGCCGTCGACTCCTCGCTGCGTCGCTTCTTCTCCTTGTACCTCTTCTTCTCTTTGTGGCGATGTTTATTATGACGATGTTTGGAAACTTGCAACGCAGACTCGGATTCTGCAGCATCGTGCTTGGTCTTTGAAGGATCTTCACTTTTACCACCGGAAAAGCTCTTTCCAACGCTCAGCCAATCTAGGAAGAGGGACACACAGTATTAGCGCATTACTTCTGTCACACCTTAAGACCCACGTATACTGCCTACCATTGGCGTTACTTCCAGCGTCTGCATCGGCATCGGGACTTGCCAGCTTCCGCCCTGCTGCGAACATGATGCGCAAAATACCCAATTGGACTATTTTCTGGACAATAAATGTGTATCGAGCTATATATTTTTGGAAATATGGTCCAATGTTTATACCAAAAACAATGAGCTGCGAGAAGCCCGCAATGCTGTCGCCGCCTGCGGACCTAACCGACGAGGAGGAAGTCTCCGCTTATATTAAGGAGAAAATTTGTGTGTATAGCAATTTTCCCAAGCCTGGTGCGGACTTTAGCGACGTCACTTCGCTTCTGTTGGACCCTATTGCCTTCCAGGTTGCCATCGACGCGCTCAAGTTGCGGTATGCGGACAAGGGCATCACACACGTAGTTAGTACCGAATCGAGAGGGTTTATCTTTGGGGCACCATTAGCGCTGGCTCTACAGGCCGCTTTTGTGCCAGTGCGTCGCGCTCGGCGACTACCAGGAGACGTCGTCGGCGTGGATTATGTGTCGGGATATTACAGCGGTCGGATGGAGGTTCACCTGGACGCCATCCCCAACGGAGGACGTGTTGTCATCATCGACGATTTGGTTGCATCTGTACGATAGATTTGTGCTCTTGTGCTATGATATTTCAGCAGTCGATAATGCCTCATTGTTGCTGACAACAACCTGCTGCTACGCAGGGCAAAACGCTTAAGGTGACGGTCGAGCTCGTCGAAAATCTCGGTGGAGAGGTAGTAGAGTGCGGATGCGTGATCAATTCGCTGCATTCGACGGTGTGTTTCCTGTGTCTATCTTGCTAAAATGCTACTGGTACTACATGTAGAACTGACCATGCCTTCATGCAATGCTCTACAGGAATTGCTGGAGAACATACCGTTGTACGGCCTCACGACGATATGACCGTCTTTTTAGAAATGTATGTGGCGCTATACGACCACATGCGAGGCAAGATCGATAAGGCAAAGAGTCTTTGCTTTGCCAAAGACAATTTCGGTCTTCTGCGCTGTCGAACCGAGTGACCGCACTACATGTACACGACTCGTAATTCACCAGTCGTGAACATTCATAGACTCGCAGTCGCGTGCAGTGGATCGTTGACCTTTATTGAAATGTGAAGTATCAGTTTTTATTTTGCTGCTGAGCTGAGCGCAGTGAGTTCCATGCCAAAGAGTTTCATGCTAGGAGTAAGTTACTACTGCGCTTGCGAACGATCGAAGTACAGTAGGCTCTGGCACAACTTTGTCCTTGTGGCCTCGGTATCGCCAGTTTCGGCATCCCACATTGGGTTACGGTATGCAAACCTGTTGAGCCTGAATTATTGATACTGTTTAAGGCAATATTTGCATTTGATAGAATTTTACTGAGCACTGTCAAAAGTATACAATAAATTTTGATGACCCCAGTTTTGGACCTTCAAAGCGTTGGAATCAAAAACCGAAAAAACCGCGAAAGAGAAGAAGCTACTGCCTGCTCGGAACATGCCGCCTAAGCAGCGAACCCGCCAGCGCTTTGGACCCGGTCAGGATTACCTACTGGCCGTGCAGGTGAACACGGACCAGCCGTTCCGCGCGCCATACGGCGGGCTCATGGCCGGCTGGGAGAAGATCGCAACGACCCTCAACGGCAGTAGCGCCTTCAATATGCACCACCTCAAGGGTCCCATCGCCAAGAACCGCTTCGAGCGTCTAGTGGAGCGCCACCGCATCTGGGTCCAGAATGGCAGTCACCCAGACGACGCGCCGTCGCAGGACGAATCTTTCCAGAGTGTCATGGCCGAGGTGATACCCAAGCTGGAAGCTGCTGAGAAGGAGCCGCAGGCCCAGACATTGGGCAAGCGCGGCCGCCCGCGTAAGATCCGGTCGGAGGACGGTGAGGCTCCTGCCGAAAAGAAGCCGACATCGGCGTCTGCGCAGGTGAGCATCGCTCCGTCCCCATTGAGGGCCCAGCCGCCGTCCACCTCTCTCCTGGTGGATTCCGAGGATCAGGTGCTGCCCACTGCCACCAAGGCCACCCGCCAACGGTTCACTCCTGGAGATGACCTTTTGCTCGTAAAGCTCGTGAAGGAGACGCTGCCATTTCGTGCCAAGTTCGGCGCCATCTCGGCGGCATGGGACGATGTGGCGACTAAGCTGGACAACAGCCCCGAGTTCTCCAAGGACAATATCAAGGGCCCCATTGTGCGCTACCGCTTTGAAAACCTCGTGTCCAAGTACCGTGAACGCGTCAAACGCAATAACGGTCGTGTGGTGGGACCGAAGGGTGTCCCTGCAGGTGAACTTGAAGTGCTTCTGACGGAGATGGTGACGCTACTGGACGGTGGCGACCCTGTCAGCGCTGCGTTGCTTGCGCAGAACGTGGCAATCGCCACTGGCGCGAACGATGCAACTTCTCGGGAAGCCCCTCGTGCTGCAACAAGCCAGGATGAGGATTCTGCCAGTAGCACGCCAAGCGAGTCGTCATCACCGACCCCCACGCTGTCCCAGAGCTTCATCGCCCCTGTGGTTCAATCATCGAAGGCGCAAAAATTGACGGCGAAAAGCGTCGCACCGCTGAGTGGCGTGGACTTAACCAGCATTGCTGAGCTCAAGACGCTACTCCAGGAAATGGTGGAGCAACAAGCTCGGGCCACGGAGCAGTTGCTGCTCCTGCAGCGTGAAGAACGCCGCCTGGAGACCGAGCGACGAGAGCAGGCGTTGGAAAGCGAGCGTGAGGAGCTCGAGAAGGACCGCCAAGCGCTAACTTCTGTCGTGGTTTCGGTCATGAAGACGTTCCTCGAGGAGAACGGGCGCAAGAACTGAGACCAGTTGGTAGTTCATTTAAGGGTACTGTCGTTTAGCATTGTCTCTGTAGGGCCAGCGCCTTGCTGACGCTTGTTAAGTCCATTAAGTTCATGCGAACGTCTCGGACACTACATCGCGTTCAACTTTAAAGTTGCAGCTGATGATTTGCCATTGCTGTTGGCCAATTTCAGGATCACGTTTTTCCTAGAGGACTACACTTCTAAAGAGTGTCTCTATTACACAAAGAAGTGTGAACTGACCATGCCCGATGATGCAGGCTCATGCTTCGCAAGCACTTGGTGTGCGAGCTGCTGCGCCGGCGGAGGAACCTCTGCAGACGACACCAATCGTCGACGCCTCGCCGAAGACGATCCTCGCCGCCGAGACTACGAAACATCACGCAACGTGACCGTACAGCCCGTGGTGATGTCCCAGATCCGCCCGCCGCAGCCCCAAATGCGCACAAACGCTTAGAGCGCGAAGAAAGGGGCGACACTGATGTACTTCGTCTTGTAGCCGGCATGGACGAACTTGAAGTAGAAGGCGGCTTGCCCGAATTGCTTACGAGCCATCGCAGGAGCAGAGCATCAGTGGATAATGAATATATTGCATTGCCAGTAGCGTCCTTAAGCAGCAGCGATATCCAGTTGCATGCTGTTCCGCCGGCGATTATGACACGATCGGTGTGGGTTAAACTTCACAGATTCGATGCGTTTTGGTGTTGTTTGCTGAGACACAACCGACTTTCCCCTACAATTATCAAGTGCACACAAGTCGCAGTCTTGGTAAAAAAAGTTAGCTGCACACTGCAATTCTCATTGCGAGAATTACCAGCAGAAGAGCAAGCGCAAGAAGCTCACGAGAAATCAAGGAACTTTCGAGTGACAACAACCTCGAGACAACTATGTGCTGCCCTGATGGCGACGATTGCTGTGCGTGTCTAGCTGGCATGTGTTGCGCCTCGTGCTGTCTTTCGGCAGCCTCTGCGGGAGACAATGACCGTAGGGATCAACGTGACTATGATTCACGCTCCCCGAAACAAGTGTACGTTCAACCAGTGGTTGTGCAACAAGGCTACGAGTACCAGCCGCAGGGTTATGGACCGCCGCAAGGCTACGGACCGCCGCCTCCAGGATATGGACCTCCGCCCCCGCATCGCGACTACTACTAAAAACTACTTCGAAGTATTAATTCTTGAAGCACACTTTGATGAAGAGTACTGTCAGCAAGATACTTAAACCAAACACTTCGTAATACATGTACATGTAGAAAATGTGCGTTGTTTGCTCTTAGCAGATCGCGCAAGAGATTAGAATGTGTAGTATTTCGCTTGTGGCGTCGTTGGATGTCGAATGTTGCTCGTCAACGTGAAGACGAAATTATTGCCGCTGCTCTTGCAATACAAAGCTGGATACGCGGTGACGAGCAGCAGCTGTTCATCACCTGCATCAAGTCGCGACATTGATTCAAGCCCAATGGCGAGGGTTTTATTCTAGAAAAATGGCCAAGCGAAAAAAACGCTTTATTGCGTACAATAAGGCTGCGCTTCGGGTGCGGCGCTTCTACCATTCGTATCTTTTTCGCGTGCGTTGTGCAGTTTGGATGACGCAGCAACGAGCAGCTCGTGTGATCACACGTACTTTAGTGCGGTACATTGAGAAGAAGCGGGATTATCTCACATGGATCAACCACGTAGCGAGGTATCGTGTAGTAGAAAAACACTTTGAAATTCTCACATATTGAAGTGTTATTCTCAGATTTCTGGAATCAGATGTGAACGAGCTGGGAGATCAGCACAATTTACTCACAGTCGGTAACAAAGAGAAATGGGAGGGGAAACTGTTGTAGGCACGAGGTTGCATTGGCACAGTCACTCGCAAAGCGACCGCATCAACGTCGACAAGGTGCTGGACCAAGTGCGTGCCTTTTGCACTCGAGCAGTCACGTACTCGGATGGCGGAATTCTTATTGCGGTGGGGCTACCCGAAGCCGGCATTATCACAGCCGCTCCTGGAGAGGCACCCTCGTCAAGCGCCTTTATTGACTCTGTGCGCGAGTTTATGAGTAAACTGAATAGCGAGGTGGCGGCAGGGACCCTCGCCGGTAAGGTGGAAATTATCCCGATGCTTCATTGGGGCAAATTCGTGCCGGCCCTGAACGCGTTGATTGGAACGGCCGCTGATCACTTCCCTGCGGCCGACACTCTAATTCTACAGTCACTGGAGATCGACGTGGATGCAACCAGTGTAGCCTCCCTGCGCTCACACTTCGATGTCACGCAGGACCTTGTGGTTGGCGCGGTACTGCCTGGCCATGATTTTCGGCCCGATCCTTCGAGCCAACCAGTCGAGTTGAGCGGTTTGACATCGCCGTGGAACACGCTTGCACTCTGGAATCTGGAGCAACTTACAAAGGTGGGGTTTGCCCTCATGGGAGATGCGTTGCGTCTCGAAGCTGACGGGATTGGCTCGGCTGCTGGCATCGAAGAAGTCGCCACCATCGCCATGTACCAACAACTCTACGCCAGCGGTTCGTCACCTACAACAGCAAAACTGGTGCGCGTACCTAGCATCGCGTGGCAAGTGAATGGACTGCAAGACCCCAAGCGTCTGGAGTGGCACAAGAAAAAAATGGAGAGCAAGCAACAGCGCGCAGCCGCGCAGCTTGCTCACTTCGGTGGCGTGGCTTCCGGCTGCGTTTATCACTTGGAGGCATGAACAGGAAAACCGTAGAACTAGCTCAGAAGCGTTACAACCTGGCAGGTGGCTGATTTCAAGTGTCCTGAGCGTTTGGCGTGGTATTTGATGAAAATGCGGAGCAAGAAGCAGCGCACAGCGGCGCAAATGGCTCGTTCTGGCGGCAGCCTTTACTTCACAATGGGGCATACTAGAAGCGACAATGAACAGCTTTAAGACAAGCAAAGGTTTATCTGTTAGTTTGCATTGAAAATTTCAGTTTGAGGCATTTGATCACGTGCAGTCAGCACAATTAATTAAAATGTAAAAATCAAACGCGTCGTGCGGTTAACAAACTTCGTTGACATTAAAAAAGAAACTGTTCGAATGTCCAGCAGCATATTTGCAGGATACAGCATTCTGCAACCAATGATTATACATGTATGTTTATCCTGGATATCATTGAAAAGCTCACAGCCCCACAGGATAACTTTGCAGCTCCTGTCTCAATTGATCACTCCATCTCATTGATCTTTTTGTTCACGCTCAAATCTGCGACACTGCGATAGACAGTATTTCAACAAGTACGGTACTATCCGGCGGCAGACGACGTTACGGCGGCCAGCGGCGAATGGACTCAGGCGATGGCATCCAAACACGCGCAGCCTCTCTGCGCCAGGAGGCAACTCGGCGGTGGCTCGTAAAAGATGAGCTGGTGTTCCTCTTGCAGCACTACAAGCTGGTGGGCGTGCCAATTCTTCACTCGCTGCAGCTACGGCCGCCTAGTAGGTCCCATCGTCAGGTGGACTCTACGGCACGTATGTTAACACTTGTATTACTGTCAATAGGCGGCACTTTACTGTTCTACAACACGCTCAAGATCTCGGACTACAAGAAGGATGGATGGCATTGGCAGAAGCGCAAGGACAAAAGTGGACGAGTGCGTGAAGACCGCGCCAAGCTCGTGATCAACCGAGAAGTCATCATCTTAGGGACATACGTGCACTCGGCAGACACTTCTGTATGATGTTAGAAGTTTGCTTCAATTCTAGACACTCTGGCTAATCTTTCGTATCTACAGACATTCCACAGGAGAATTTACTCAGTGCGCGACTCCAACGACAGTATCGTCCTTGTCCACTACTTCGACGAAGTCAACAAGGAGCCTGTGCTCCGTCAATTTTCCTCAACGTCTAGTAAAAGCCGTCAAAACACCAACAAAGGGGTAAAACGATCGCTGCCAGTTGCTCTAGGTAGCAATACTTCCACGATTCTGATGCCGTCATTCCAGCAACTCAGTCCACCAAAGCCAATACCATCGGAAGAAACGGTAGATTCCATCATGAAAAGTACGCAGATATTCTCTCTTCATTATCGTAGAGCACCCAACTCTTAACCCGTGTATTTGTTATCTTCGATGCAGACTGTTTCGAGATGGACTTCGAGCCTCAAACTGCATTATACCAGACTTCTTCGCTCAGTATGTCGGATGCGGATCTGCTACTATTAAAAGACAGCACGATGGACTGTCTCAGTGCCGACGATTTGTTCAAAGATCTGGCGTCGCCAGAAAAATATACCAGCGGTTTGAGTGGCCAACAGACCTTCGAACTAGTCGAAATTTCAGACTTTTCGCCAGACTGGGACTTCGGAGATGGCGGGGCCAAAATTCTCATCTGCCTGGCAGCCAAGCTACCTAAAGGAATGGCTCAAGACCCGATGAAGTTGTTTGTGCAGTTTGGTGCGAAACGAGTCCGCGCCGAGAAAGTATCAGACACGGTATTGCGCTGCACAGGTGGGCTTTACATTTTTTTCAAGCTGTGTATGTTGAAACTAATCACGTACTTGCGTGTGTATTATTTGTACAGCTCCTAGCTCTTTGGAAGTTGGGGGCGTGGATATGTTTGTGTGCCATTGCGGGGGATCACAGGAGTGCATACAGCTGTCACATAAAAAGCAGTTCACCTATCGCAGTCATTATCAAGTGTCGCCTTCATTAATTGGAGACATTGCAAGAGATAAACGCCTCTGTGAAGCTCGGTCGATAGACCCTTTGGATCTTACAGTACCCAGTTCCTCGCATTATACATTCGGCACCGGCAAGAGAGGCAGATCACCGACCGTTCTATCTCATTGTGCAGTCATGAAACGATCAGAGGACAAATTTACAGGATCACTCAGAAATCTCTCGACATTTGTCGAGTCAGATTGTAAGCTATCGGTATTTCTGCATTTTTCCTCATTTCTTACGCCTTGTTACTATTTGCTTACTCAGTGGACGAGCGGCAATGCAAGATTCGAGTCGTCGAGCGGTTGTCTGAGTTTCACCATGCTATCCGCACAAAAACAACAGAGCCTGCACCCAAAGCGGCGTTGTCCTTAACTGGAAGTAGTAATGGTGACGGGAACATTCCTCCACCAAGAGAAGAGAACGCCTCTTTACCGGTGACACTACCGACGTCGGGTTCACCGACTAGTCAAGTGCAGCCAATAGCTCAATCAAATGTCAAAGCAGAGCCTCCAGATGAATCGACTTCCTCCAGTGAGATATCGACTGCGCTGGATGACTGCACAATCGAGACTCTGAGCGACAACGATTTAGAGCAGCTCTCAGAAAAACTACTCGAGCGTGTGGTGCGTCAGCTTATCACAGTCGCACATACAAGCGAGGAGCTGCTGGAGGAGCTCAATTCCCTGGACGAGACTGGTTTGAGCTTATTGCACTACGTGAGTTTCTACAACTACTCGCAGTTGGTGCCGGTGCTGGTTGCACATGGCGCACATATCAACCAGCAAAGTACGCAAGGCCAGACAGCACTTCATCTAGCAGCAGGATGCGGCCACGATGAAGTAGTCGATGTGCTACTGCAATCTGGAGCGGACCTTCAAGTACGTGACTTTGACGGCCTTACTGCTGCTGATCGCGCTGAAAAGTCAGGCCACGCACACGTTGCTGCAAAACTGCACCGTCACATGGGTGATGAGCCGAATGACTTGGGTGCAGTTGACGAGATATATGGCTTTGGAGGATCACCGATGGAGATTGACGATGCCCCGACACCGTACACGGATGCTGGGGATATGGGCCTTTTAGCAGAAAATGACGACGTGATGTCCAATGTCCGTCCACCGCGCTCTCACTCGAACAGCTGCGAGAGTCCGTCGGAGTCGAACTTATCGTCGAAGGCGACATCTTACGTAAGTGATCGATTGCCAAGAGATATTGACGTGTTGTGTTGCTTACTGAAAATGCAAAATGTTTCGCAGGTGGGAGAGAATCAAGAGCACAATCGGAAGCTGCTGCTTGGAGCTTTCTCGACGATGAGTTTGCACGATAAATGCGCGCTTTCGCTGACGATTTCCCGAGACTCTGGGGGTCACGTGTCCAGACGTCGGGAAAGTAGTGTCGGAGAAAATATTCCAATCAACTCTCCCAGTAGCAGCACGGGAACATCGGTGGGCTTCGGTTCATCTCCTGCTAGTATGGTTGGCATGGATGCCAATCTTGTCGGTGGACGCTTAGTGTTGGCCGGAAATGAGAACGACTCGGATGTTCAGAGCATGATTGCCGAAGACGAGGAAGGCTTAAACAAACTCCAGGCAGCAATGGAACTAATGGGTCCGGAAGAAAGACAGTCACTGGAAGACGAGGTGAAGGTATTGCAGCACGGCATCCGAGCGTGGTTGCTCAAGCGGAATTGCAAGAACATGCGTGAGACGACCAAACAGCTCCGCGAAGCCACGCAGAGCATTGAGGACCAGCAGAAGCAGCAAGAAGCACTATCAGAACGTGAGCGTGCCGCTGTGACCGTCCAGGCAGCGACGCGCAGCATGTTGGCACGACGTAGTTTCCTGCAGACAAGGCACGTCACAATTAAGTTCCAAGCCGCCACGCGAGGTGTCCTTTGTCGCAAGAACTTTGCCCGTATGAAAGCGCATGCTCTAGCATCGTTGGTGATCCAACGCAATGTCCGCGAGTGGTGGAACAAGCAACCTGCTGCAACTCGCATCGATAAAGAAATAGACGACCAAGAAAAAGATTCACAAGAGGAGAAAGCACCCATCCCAGAAGATGCATATGAAGCGCAACACAGCTTGTAAAACGCGCCACTAACCCCAGCAGAGTATCATAGTCCAACACAACTGCACACCTCCATCTTGTTCTATTTTGTCGCTTTCTCGGTATAACGACGACTTTAGCCTGCCATTGGAAACTCGTGCTAAAAATCTTAGTCCATAGTCTCAGCTCCTTCGTCTGTGTATCGTCGGAAGCCCGGGATGGGCGGCGTCCAGGTGGCAATTCCGCGCTCCTCCGGCGCCGGAGATACATCGATCTCCAGTGCTTCAGTCTGCAGCTCTGCGGGCAGTGCGTTGATAGCCTCCCACTTGAGGTCAATCTTGGTCTGCAGGTCGCGCATGAGGTGGTTGTGCTCGATGGTGCTCATCCTGTTAAACAGGCGGCCAATCTCCTGGTGGCGCTGCTTCTCCTCCTCTGTCCACTCCTCCCTGCAAAAAATGCACATCCGATATTAAGTACATTATAATTGTTGTATGGCACTAAAGCGCAGCATACGCGTCGGGGTACTGGCCCTTGATGGCACGCAGCATTTGCTCGAAGTTGGAATCATCGCCACCCTTCTTGTCCTTCTTTTTCTTCTTGTCCTTTTTGGCCGCAAATCCGCGGACGCTCGACGAAGTAGCTGCCGCATCGGCCAGTGCACAGGTGATGGCACGCTTGGCGCCCACCGCAGTCACGCTACGCAGAAGCAGAGCCATGTCAACCTGTTCAGAGTCTCTCGTCCACAAAGTGCCTCAATAGAGTGCTAAGTACGAAGCTGTGTACATAACTGTTACTTCGAAATATTTAAAAAAATATCTCTTTCAGTTCTAAGCAATTTAATTGTTTTGAAAACAATACTATTTCAAAACCTTTCTGAAACATAAGGGAAGTGGTCAATTCGAGGCCGGTTTTGCAGGTGCAATTTTCGGAAAGGCACTGCTTCGGACTCGAGCCTCGGAAGTCATAACTTTTGACAGTTTTGGAAACCTCCGGAATCCCTCTTTTTTTAAGGTGGTGATTGGCACATAATATGACAGTGCTGGTCGTTGTATTGTTACTTAAAGAAACCACTGGAATTGTGGCGGAGGTTCAATTAAAGGCCGGTATTAGACTTGTCTTGAGTATGTTCATTGGTACACCAGCATCAGGGCTAGGTCTACTAGAGCGGTGACTTTCGGTCGTACTTAAGGCATTATCATAGGCTACTAGGTTTGAGAGGTGATGCTATTTTGGAAAGGACTGCATTTCCAGAAGCACGCAGACACAGACAGCGCTCGAAATGTCGAGCGGGGCGCCGGCTCTGCTCGAGTCCCCAGAGCTCCGCTGCCACCCGGAGAACCTCGTACGGCTGCTCATGCGTCATGGCTAGCGACTCTTACCTTTTGCTGAAGCCAAGACCTCCTGTGTGATGTAAAACTGCCCGGCAGGGTGGGGGTAACGCTGCCGGATTGACAGACGCACATATTTAACCAATTGGGTACGGCAATCTTTAGGTTCCACATACTTATGAGGTCGTACCGACAGTTGCTCTGTCTAAACTACTGTAGAACCTACAATATCACTACCAGTGTCAACGCTTGGCGACATCGAGGTCGTCTTCTTGCAAGGCTTAGCCCTTGAACTACTCGTGCTCGCGTGTTTGCGACCTTTAGCTCCCGATCTGGCGGTGAACGCTTCAATTTCCTGTAAGACCTCATGTGTCAAGAGACGTCCGCCGACGGAAACGCGCTTGCGCTTCTGACCGCGGGCTTTGCTCGGTGGAGTTGGCATTGTGAGAATTTCGTCTTCGACAAGCGCCTTCATATGCAGCCATGTGGCAAGCAGGACGTGGCGAGGTGCCCCATTTCGTGTGAAATTGCTCAAACGGGCGCCCATTTTAACTAAAGACAAGGGAAACAGTCCACAAGCTTTGAACCCTGCCTTAACATTTCGATCGATCCGAGCCCCTCGCCAGGCCATGCTAGCCACTTGAATCGCATCGTCTTTGCTAATGTTGTAGTATCCGTTCTCGTCTTCCTCCACGAGCTCCCCAAGCAGAGTTTGTATCTTGCTCTTCAGTGTAGCGAATACGGCTACGTCTAATGGCTGCAGAAGGTGCGTGGCGTTCGGGGGCAGGAAAACCAGCATTACGTTCAGACACTCTGCTGCAGCAAGCACCTCTTCCGAGTAGTGAGATCCGCATCCATCCAAAATCAGCACAAGTGGACGTGCAATGGAATCAGGCACTGCGCTTGCAAAGAACTTCAACCATCGCTCAAAAAGGTTGGTATTGATAAAGCCCGAGGCTGAAGTCGTGACCACAGCGCCTTTTGCCTCGCAATTTTCCAGCAATCCAGGTGAAACGGTCTTTCCAGGCAAAACAAAAGCCGGTGGTATTACAAAGCCAGCAGCACTTCCACACGCAACAATTGTGAGGTGAAAATTAGCTGTAGGCTCTGTACTCCAAACGTTACTCGATCCACGAACAGCGACTACTTTCTTGCTCTTGAGTTGCTTCTGAAAAGCTGTTTCGTCCATATTAAAGACCCTCGAGCTGTCCAGTTTCAGCTCAATGATAAGCTTTGCCAGGGTGTTGAAAAGCGTAGTTAGGTCACCATGAACAACAAAGTTACGCTTTGTAGCAAGCGACTGGGCGGATCGCACGGTCAGCGCTGGATAGCGCTTTTTAAAGCCCTTGTACCAACCGTGGCCCACACGTTCGCCACAGCCCAGCAGGCCCACTTCCTGCGCCTTTCGTATGATCACGGCGCGCTCGACTGGGTGGCCAATGAGCTGTCGTCCTACCACCCAGTCGTATAGATGGTCTTCCGCTGCTTTCGGTAAGAACGTTTTGGGCCCAGGCCGTCCGGCTTTCAGTGACTTGCCCTCCGCTAGTGCATGTAGCCACTTTCGAATAGTTCTCTCATGAACGCCAGTTACAGCGGCGACGTCAACCACTGTACTGCCGGCTTGAACTTGAGCGATTGTTGCTTGTTTAAAGTCCACCGTGTAGGTAGGTGTCATCGAGCTGGTTTGGAAACGAAAGCTGCTTACAGTAGCGCTGCTTTCTGGCAGTGATCGCTCTCCCGCCAGCATTTCGCGCCAAATCTGTATAAATTTCTGTGAGTTTTGTACTTAGTTGTTTATCTACAAATGGCATGCTGGAAATCGTAATACACCGAATGCATTGGCTAATACCACACCGGCCTCGAATAGATCTACCGGCCTCGAATTGGAAGTTTCCCTTACTACTTATGTACTGTACTACAGAGTTGTAAATTTAAAATTTGCATTGCACTTTATTTTACAATCACAATAATCTGCGATTAGTCGATCAATTGTCTTGAAGCAAGTGCACCCCCTCGTGCCATGTCGCGCTTGTTGCTTCGCTCTCTACGCTCGTCGCCAGC